TGACTACGAGAACGAGTCTGACGACGAGAACGAGTCTGACGTACGCACCACTTCTCACAGCAACATTCTCGCTAACACACGCACACACAATACCGTCGACCGTACGCGGAACATAAGCTTCACCAGGCTATCTACAATAGCTAAGGAAAAGTCGATGTCAAGCCAGCAGCAGTGCGATGGCGGAGAGAAGGAGAATCAAGACCCCACAACAGTCGCCTCATCCAACAGTTGTGGCACCAAGCGAAACTTCAGTGTTATGCCTAACAATGATGATCTCGAAGTGCAACCAAATAAGAAGCAAAAGAGCAGCGAATGTCAGGCTTCATATATCGCAAAGGAAGTCAATAGGCTTGAGCACACTCCCTCAGGTCCAGAGCCTAGACCTCAAGTACCAGACATCAGCATCCCTGTCATTCAGCAGCCGCATGCAGTGGGGAAATATTCAGCCCTTGACTTTTTAGGTTTATTCGCCAAGCAAACGACTGGGAAGTTCAAGATGTTTATTCTAGGCGGATTTCTACAATGTCGACCAGAGAAAGACGAAGTAGACGTTGAATTCCTAGTTACACATCCAGCTCACAAAGACCCTTCAGAGGAAGCACTTATAGACCGAAAGCAAGAAGCATACAAGATTGCGACTTTTTCAAAGACTCATCCAAGTATGTTTATACACATACTTCTTTAACAGAGTTGTAAATACTGACATAATAGAGAATCCCCCACAGTGACAGTTGCACAAGCTAAGCTTCTACTCAACGAGTGGGATCTCAAAAAATTGATGGCGAAATTCTTCTACTGGATCGATCATGTCCAGAAGCATCCACACATTCATTATAATTGTTGCTATATGCATTGTGAAAATACTATGGCGATGTCAACACCAAATGGTTTCAGGAGATGCATTGATCATTTTAGGTCTCACGGTTTCCAGAACACGGATGCGATGAGTGTTGCACTCTGCATAATGCCTAATTGTTTTATGATCTTTCCAAACCGGGAAATGGCTTACAGCCATTATTTGGAGTGCCTTCAACGAAAGAAATAATGCTTAAATATTATTCTCCTATTAATGTATGTAATAACACTGTATTTCCTTCGTGTATACGACCCTCGGGGAAAGACATTACGTTGCTCGCATTACAATTGGAGCAAGATCATTAACAGCAGTGGTGCTATTCGGTTAACACATAAACATTTTCGAAAAAAGGAGGGTGGGAA